AGAGTGCTGTGAGGGATAACTGGCTGAGTGATGTATTTTTCATTGGTTGCATTATGTGCCTGAAAAGAGAGAGGACTCTGAAGACCCTTCCCCCCTTTACTGTGTCTGTGTTCTAAAGCTGCACCTTTTGGCAGCAGCTCTCAAGGCATCCATGCTGCACCATTCAGAAACTGCAGGTAAATTGGCAGATGTGATGTGAACCCAGGTCCTGTCTCAAGGAGGATGACTCTAGTATGGTTCTGTTTGCCTTCTTCATGTCCCCAGTGCTTCACTCAGGTAGGAATGCTCAGTGTTCAAGACCGATTCTTCTGTGGTGTCCCTGCTGTGTAATTTCTGCTCACTCTGCAGTCACTAGATGACTTTCTGTGAGCCAGCACAGATTCACAGAACTGTTTAGGCTGGAAAAGGTTTTAGGGTCATTGTTAACCCAGCACTGCCAAACCTGCCTGTAAACCATGCTTCAAGAACCACACGTGCACTCCTGCAATACCTTCAGAGATAGTGAATCCTTGTCTGGGCAGCCTGTTCCAATGCTTGACAACTCTTTTGGTGAAGAATTTTTTTCCTGATATCCAATATAAACCTCTCCTGGAGAACCTTGAGGCTGTTTACTCTTGTAACTCCTGTGTTACTTGAGAAAAGAGATCAACCATCACCACCTACCTCCTTTCAGGTAGCTGTAGAGTGTGATAAGGTGTCCCCTTGAGCCTCCTTTTCTTCCTTTCATTACTATGGTTATTCTTCCTGGCAATACATATTGCTGAGCTAGGCTTATTTGAGTAAATCTCAGATAGTTCTTTCTTTGACCTTCAAATAGCCATTACAAAAGTTTGAAAGCCTAGAAATACTGAATTTATTAATATGTCAATAGGGACTCTATTCAGGAGTGTAGGTAATATTTCTAAACACTTAACACATGTAATATTTCTGGTAGTTGAGTCACAAGGAGAGGCGTCTTTTGGTAATAATAGTTGATATTACTAGTCACTGAAGTAGGTGCAGGAAAGTAGCTGCTGCCATAAAAATGGATTGCCAAAGCAATTATAAGTTTCAAGTTGAAAGTTTTGCTTTGAATCACTTATACTTGGTTGTACAAAACTGTCAACCTTGCCTTGCCAGCCTGTCTGTGAGGGAACCGTGTGACTGCTGCTGGATTCCCTTTTCACTGCTCAGCACTGACTGAGTCTGACCCACGTAAGTCAATCAAACAACATAGACAGGCTTAACACAAAAGTGGACTGGTTATGAGGTATCTGATGCTCACTATTTGGTATATTGTCTCTTGATTTTGGGGTGCTGGCCTTATGTCTGTTAAACTTAGCATGAACTAAAAGCACCCAGTAATTGGTGCTCTCCTCTCTAAATTGCTCCTCTGATTGCTCTCACTGCCACACTGTATCTTTTTTTTTTTAAAAAAAAAGCAAAGCTGCAATATAAAACAAAACCAGAAGAAATCATCCCTAGTACTTTTTGATAGCCTGTGATAAAACCTCCACTGCAAGTCTCTGCTACAAGAAGACACTCTGAGCTGATTTGTTCTCCAGGGAGAAGTACAGCGTAACCAGGATCTCATTACACTGTCTATACAACACCTTGAACAGGTTGTCAGTAAATTTTCTTCCTTCCTTTGTGAATTAGAGTGTCTGAACACAACAGTAAAACGGTAATTTGGAGGAACTTGGGACAGTAAGATCAGACAGCATTATTGCTTTGAAGCACAACTATATGAATTATGACCTCACCTAGGTAAGTTTTATGTCAGAAAGGTCATTAGAAAGTTTTTCATTTATATCTTTTCCAACTGAGTATGTGAAGCTACCAGGAAATATGTACAAATTGTTTGCAAAAGATGCTCATTTTCTTCCTCCTATTGTTATAAATTTCTCAGATTCTCATGGAGTGTGAGCCAGCCTTTTCCCTTTTGGAGGAAAAGACCACTGGCTGGGATACTAAGCTAGTTTGCCTTCTGATGGTTGTCAGAAAGATCATATGCCTTAATAACTGGCCTCAGTTTACTTTGTTAACACTAAGGACTTGTATAAAATAAAAATTTTCTCGGGAAAGCTTCCATGTGCAGCAACACCTTTGAGTGACCCAGACCGAGTGTGTGACAAAGGAGTCCGAAATCAGGTCTGCTCAAGTTCTTGATAGGTACCTTTAAAAATCTGTCCACATCAGTGTTGCAATGCATTACACAGTGATGTTGTTATGAGATTCAGGGGGCCATAGAAATAGATTTCTCTCTCCTCATTCTCTACATTCCATTTTCTCTGGTTCTTTTCCTTCATTGTTTTGGGTCTTCTTAGACTGAGGTGGAGCCCAGAACTGGGCCGAGGCAAGCCTTGAGTAGAAGCACCTGGATTATGAAATCTGCTCCACTGGAGAAAGGCATTCATTGGCCACTGACTTCTTAGTGACAGGTGGTTCGTACCAAATGCTGGTCCATGACACTGGATTGCTGTCACAAGTAAATCTGAGCTGTGGGTCAGTGGCAGAGAAATTATATCCTGGAAGCTACTATCAGATTGAGGAAGAGCTTCCCCCAAAGCTGGCCAAGACAAAAGTGATCAGCATACAGGGACTGGCTGACAGTGGTGGGGCATTCCTCACCTCCTGCATTCTTTCAAAGTTGTGACACTACCAATACTGGTGACATTTTTCATGCATTTTGTGCTCATGCAAATTACTTCCTGAGGTGTGCAAAAAAGAGTTCCTATTCCTTCAAAATAAAGCCTTCGTTTATTTGAAGATTTTCTTCCCTTGACAAGAACTATCTCATACTGGGAAAAGGAAATCTCTTTATTCATGTAATAGGCTCAAGAAATTTGGTGGATACATGGCTCCTGCTCCCCATCATGCCAGTGCTACTCAGGACAGGGGCTAGCAGCAAGGTATTTTTGCAGGACATGTGTGCTCAGGAACAACCTTCTGGATTCTCTTTTCTTCGTGTTTTTTTTTTGGGAACATGAGTGATTAGCTTTGTGGATCACATTGCCTGGAGTGATGATTTATTTCATGTGAACCATTGAACTCCACTCATCTGGAAACAACTTTGATTGCTATTGACCTTAAGCTGAGTCAGTGACTGAGAACGAAATGTTCTGGTTCTCCTTCTCACCCTAGGACCCTTGCATTCCTGTCTTTGTGTAATGTGAAACTATGCACAGGAGTAAGCACTTTTACAAATAATAACATTTGCACACCAAATATTGGTGAAAACAGGCCTGCTGAAAGTGTAAATGTGTGTGTTTAACATATGAAACACATTTGATAGAATACAATTAAAGTGTTGTATCAATATTATTTCAGTATAAGAGCTCAAGTAGTTCCTTTAACTGGAGCTTCTTATACGGTCTCATGTCTCCCCAGGAAAGTTTTTCTTCAGGGATTTTACAATATTTGAGGGGACTCACTTGATCTTGGAAAAATGTCTTGGTTTTTATTAGCATAAGAGCAGGACCTAGTGGAAAATTAAACAGAGTGGTGACTGGACTATTCATGTAGAGGAATGTTTTTTGGTTAACTGGGCCCTGAAATCTAATGTAGTACGTGGTGTAGGAGCATATCAGAAAAATTACACAGAATAGAAATCAGCATAAGAAATGAGTGAATTGTCTGTTCACAAGTCTCTGACTTCTTTGCTTCTATCCACTAACTCTTTCCCCTTCTAGAGTACTCTCACTAAAGACTATCATATACTCTAAAGGAAAGCAAAGGAAGCTCAATCTACAGAAGCATCACTCTGCTGCCTGCCAGTGTGCCATGCCTCCCCTCTCTGAAGGGCATAAACTCTTGACCTGAGGACAGATGATGAGCAGCAACCTAAAAATAATTTCCTTCTGCTGGCTACTCAGCATCTGGCACCAATGAGGGGTAGCTGAAATGCTTTTGTCATTATCTCTTCCACATGTTTCCTGCGTATTTTCCCAAAGCAGCTTAGCTCTGTGCAATGAACTCTCTTATTTCCTAATGCCAGTGACTGAAAGTGTATACCAGGGGATAATTGCAAATCCATGTTACTTCATCCAGTCACATCATCTGTGCCCACTCCCTGTAAATCCTTGAGAATGACTGATGAGAAATGGTGACACAGGAGCATTGCATGATTCATAATGCATGTTAAATAAAACACAGGGCTGCAGGGGAAACAGGCAGTCCTTCTTTTTAAACAAGACTTAGCTTTTTAGGTAGTGAGTTTACACAAGGCTCTGGTCAGACTAGACATTTTTAGAAAGCTGAAAAAAATTACAGATTGTAATAAGGCTAGCTGACCCCCTCAGCTTTAATTTAGCAACTGTGAGTAGTGTTGAAAATTACTGAATGGATAAAAAGTGATTTAATCTCCTGGATCTCTGGCATACTGTACAACTCCAAAATTCCTGTTGTCTTATCCTAACAGCTGCTGTTCACTGTGAATGAAGGGTTGGAGCTACTGGAATGATTTCTACCTATAGTTCTAACACACTTTCATCTGATTTTGACTGTTGCTCAGGCATTGAGAGATAGGTCAGGGATTTGTCTTGTGGATCTACAAAGCACCTGCTTTGGGGAAGAGCTTCTGGGCAGAACTGTAACAACATAATTCCAGTTAGAGCTGAGCCATAAACAGCAAAGTCACATCCATGCAGCCATTTTGGGGTGTGAAATCTCATTACTTTCTCGCCTTTTAACTTTGAAGACATTTTGCATTCAGACTTCCCTGAATTGTCTTTGCTCAAAGCCTGCAAAAATGGAAGTATAAAAATACACAAGTTCTTTGGGACAGGATTAAAAAAAGAGCCAACAGTCTGTTTTCAGATGGGTCTTGTGATAGTTCTGCTGGAAGGGCTCTTCCTCGGACAGCTGTACTAGTTATTTATAAACAATGAAAAGTAGACAAGGGGCTACTGTTGCACCTGGTCTTGCTATTAACTTATCTCTTGTTCTCCTAAATGCCAGATCTTTATGTTTGGGATATGGAGCTTTTCATCCTGGTGGGGGAATAAGAGAGACAGCTGGGAAGAAATTCATCATCCTTTTAAAATACTCCATTTCCTGATAACGAAGGCAGGGCCAAACACAAAATGGAATAAAAATATTTCTTTCATGATTAATCTAGTGCTTTTCTTTCAAAAGCTTAAAAATCATTGTTAAAACTGGCTCAGAACTTCACAAACATTTGAGGTGAATGAAGAGGCTTGGAAGAGGAAGCTGAAGAGTGGGTAAGATATTAATGACTTGTATTAGTAGCTTCTGTTTAGTACAGATAAATGAGTATCAGACATTTATAAGCTGATAATTGACCTAATAATAGTTTCCAATGTTTACAATATATCCTTTGAAATTGTCTCCCCATGCCTTTAGCTTTTCCTAAGTTGAAATTTGTGAAATACTCTGTGCTTCTTCACTGGATGGATTCACTCTCCCCTGACAGACTGCAATACTTAAAAACTTGCTTTATTGGAGACACATTATCTGCACAGGGAAGAAAGTGACTTGTGTCTATAAAATTAATACTGGCCAAGGAATGGGTTACTTCAGCTTGGGTTTTGGATTTCCTTCGTCACATAAGCAAAGGCTTTATTCTGCTGGCACATAAGCAAAAGCTTTATTCTGCTGCCCGTGAAATGACTTCTGAGCTGTTCATGATATTTTTCACCTCAGTTTCACAATTTATAGATCTTAAAAGCGTTGTGGTGGCTTTTTTCCCTTTTGAGGTCTCTTCCTGTGTTAAAACACTTTGTTCAGCCTTGACCAGCATTGCTTTGTAAGAAGGTCTTTGGAGGTGTCTGGCTGCAAGGAGAAGGCATTTAGAAGGGCAAGAAGAAAAAGGGAATGCCTTTAGCCTCCTCTCTTGCTGTCTTTTGTAGTTCAGGGTGGGCCAGCAAATTGCAGTCCCAGGGAACTCTGTATGTTATATTCTGAACTAGGAAATTGTAAATTCAAGGAGTCATTGAGATTCTTAATTTTGTAACAGCGGTAAGGCTTTGCGAAGTCTATGCCGGTGAAAACATGTCCCTTGTTTAAGTACTACTACCACTATTACTACTACTACACTACCACTTTCTGTGTTCTTGGTACAGCAGCTTGCTAACTCTGTGAAGTAGTAGTGTACCAAATAGAAAGAAAAAGATTTCATTACTCAAAGACTAAATGGAAAAAAGATTTACATGTGCATATATATATATGCACACAAAACTAAAATCTGTATCATTATATAGTGATCAAATAAATGTCAGGTTATGTAAAAGCAAAAAATATATTAGGGAAACAAAAGAAAAAAGAGAAAAGACAAGTTCCATGAAAACAAATGATTAAATATATAAATACCTGAGCAATAAAGTAGATTTTGAATATTAGGTGACACATTACTAGGTGGATTTTTGGAAAGGGGAAAAAAAATACCCCATTGAATATAACTCTTTGTGCCTGTAAAAAAAGTAGAATTAATTTTCACCTGGTGTAGACTCTTACAGACCTTTACTATCTGAGAAGGATGATGGCAAATATCCATGGCAAATTTTTTAAAGCCAGTAGGCATAGTTAACTTGTACTAATATAAAGCATAGAAAAATTGGCTAAAGAGATGGCTGATGTACATCAGTGTGATCAGTGACTGACAAGATGCATTGTCAGCACTGCTGCATTCTGATTTATATATTAGTACTGTTTTGTATGGAAGTAGTGCTATAGGTCAAATCAAAGTAAATGAAAAATACTGCAACTCTTTGCAAATGAGGAGCCCTCATAGATTAAGTGAGATACTGTCAAGACAGTCACAAGAACTGAAACTACTTCTTATTTTTAGCAAGAGTCCAAGTTCATTACTGAGAAAAGTGGAAATAATATAGAAATCAGCAGACTGTTAAACTGAGGGATAGAAACAATGTGATAAGTAAGGCTGTCCAGCCATTTTCCAATGACAGTATATAACCCAGAATCGAAGAAAGCTGGACATGACTGCAGAACATGTGTTGCCCTGGAAATTAAAGCCTTCTGATAGTGTTTTCATAGTTTTAGTTACTTTCCCATGAAAGTAACATAAAGTTGTTTATCACATTCCTTGTAAGAAACATCTTTTGATGGATGTTTCTCATGACCAGTGTGCCTGGGAAGGTGGTAACTTTATTATCCAATCCCTGGTCATTGTCGAGAATCCATAAATACTGGAGTCAGAGAAAAAAAGGATGTTTTTTTGTTCTGACACTGAGAGGTGTTGGTGTGAATCATTTCGTGTCCTCTAGTGACAAACATGGGCTTTGGACCTGCCTGTACAGAGATTTCAGCAACAACCCTCTGCAGAGAGCAGCAACCAAGGCTGTACTGGGCTGTTCAAAACAACAGGACCAGGGAGACAGCTTGTCCCTCTGTAACAGAGCTGCTCAGCTTTGGCAGCCAGCAAAAAGGCTGTTTGGGAAACAGAAGGATGAGAAACTGAAGACAGCAGAATAGATGCATGCAAGTGATCTGAAGGCTGAAGAATACAGCCTGCAGGTGGATCTAGAAGTGTCGGGGAGGTGGTTTGGTTGAAATCTGTCTTCCTAGGAAACACATGTCAGCTATAAAAAGGCACAGAGGAGGAGGGCAGCAGAGTGAATGCTAGCAGCTGATCCTGTACAAATTTCAAGGAGGAACAACTCATTAGTGGAGTACATAAGTCTTCAGGACAAGCTAGGAAGTGGATTTGCTGCACTTTAAATTCTTCAAATAAAAATCCCTTTCTTTGGGCAGGTTCATGAGTTTAGCACAGGGACAATTGGATGAAACTTATTCACATGTGATGTACTAGAGGGAGCAACAAATAACCTAGTAGTCCCTTTAGGCCTTAAATTATGTGAACAGACTATGTGGAATTTTCTCACTAGCAGCAGTGGAAGAGGAATAATCATATCTAATAATATATTTTGAGCAGTCTTAACCCATTATTTCCTATCACTTGAGATACTAATCTGAATAGTGATGGCATATGGAGTCCTGGGTACCTATGCTGCTCCTGGTTCCAAGTGTGAATTTTTACCATCTTATTTTACATTGATTACACTAATGGACTGGTATAGCCAGCTGTCTCTACCCATATTTTTTTAAGAATTCACAATTCATGAGGATATTTCAAGTTTTAGGAAGCTGCTATTATTTATTCTGTGTGTGTGTTCACTACAGTAAAAAAAAAAAATATTTTGTAAACCAGCAATCAACTAATATTACAACTTATAATTTCTGGCCTCAACTAGGAAAGCAGTCAGCAGAACCAGTGCTAAGACAGACTGTGTCAACCGTGACAGAAAAATATTATTGGAACTTGCTATTTGGTGAGTTACTTTTTATGCATATATTGAGAACTGCAACAATTTATGGAATTGGAGGCAGTTAATCATAATGACAATGTAAGAAAAAAGGAAAGAAACGGAAAAGAAATGGTATTTCTGAAAGAAGTGGGCACTGAGGTCTGTTAAGCAATGCCCCTTCTTGAGCACATCAGTCCTGAACCCAGCTCTGGGGTTTTTGCATGGTAAAGGTACCCTACTTTCCTACAATTTTTTTTGAAAAATGCAACAAAGATTACATGGTTTAGAAGAGGTTCTTGGTGCATATACTTATAAGGACAGCTGAAGAATCCCATTAATGATGTTAAACATTGACCTGAGCCTGAAAATTTCTGCATCTGATTCCATTTAAGTGCATTGCCATAATATTTAGTCTATTCAAGACTTGCATGACTTGTTTTCATACGTTTGTATGTGTGCAGTACATACACACATACCTGCAAATAAAGATAAATGTGCTCCAGCTAAAAATAGTAAGAATCAAGTACCTATCAAAATGTACAGGATAAAATTAGTTTTCAGCATGGCAGTGGGTTCTGTAGATCATGTATGTGGAACTTAGCTGCAGTGGTGTTGTGGACACACAAAGAGCCTATAAAGCCACTAAGCTGGGGTTTCCCTGTATTATTTGGGGAGTGTTTGTGAGAACACATATGAAATGGTCACCTGAAAGATTGACAGCAGAAGTATAAAAACATGTTTTTCAAAAATGTCAGGAATGTTTTGTGGTCTGATATTCTGGTACGTTCCGTGCTACTGATTCAAAGAAACACAAACAAACCAGAACCCCCATCATGCAATTACTTACCTAGGTAAAGTTAAAGGGTTTCTGAGATGCTTCCATGTTAATAAAGTGGCATTCATAAGGGGTTTTTTGAAGGTAATTGTCAAAACAGTAAAATAAATGTACATATATGTGTCTGTTGCATCTTCCTTTGGTGTCACTTTATACACCGTAAGTGGGCACTTCACTATGATATTGCATGGCAGAACTACACCTTCTATGTGAACTTTTTTCCATTTGGTAGAAATGTCAGGTCCTGGTTTATCTTTACTGTCCTTGGCAGCTTTTGCAGAAAATTTGCAAGATAACATCACTTGTGTATACCTTGTGGTATATTTTTCTTACCATTCTCAAGGACTGACAAAATGGGATGATTCCTTCTCAGTGAAGCCACATGTGTTTTCCATGCACAGAAAGTACATCTAAGTCAGGGGCTTAGGTAGGATAGGAATGCAAGGTATGCCTGCAAGCACTCCACAGCACACCAAACAGACACAAAGACAACTTTTGTCTAAGTAAATTTGGTTATTAACACCTCTGTGACCATGCTTGCATATGCTGCTGTGGAATACATAGAGGATCTGAAGCAAGTTTTGCTGCATTTATGTCAGTGCAGTCCAAGTCTGTGACTTTTAATGGGTTTCATAAAAATGTTGGTGTTTACAGCAGTATTAGTTTGAGGCTGTGAAAAATAACCTGTATGATCTTTCCAAGTAGTAAGAGTAAGAGGAAAGTGGAATCTGTATTTATGTTTGAGATTGTTTTCAACTAAGCATGCTACAGTCTCTCTGTTGGGTGCTACCTACAGCATTGTGTTGATGGGGTGCTGATATTGGGAGACCATAGATCCCCAAAATGTTAAACACACATCATACACTGTCTTCTGGCAGTTTGAGGCACCTGGGTGTGTTTTAGAGCACGGCCCATATGCAATAGGCCATTGTTTGCACAGAGACTCAGGCACTGGTCTCTTTAGTGTTGCAATGCTTAATTGAATAATTCCTCTGTTTAATTTTTTTAATTTACTTACAATTCTATGGCTGAGATTTCAAAGGAGTGGAGAGGTTTAAACCAGTGGGTGGTCAGATTTCTGCTTGTTTATCCAATAACTTTCCAATTGAAAATGTAAAAAGCTCTCATAGGCACAAGGATTTCCTTCTTCCCAGATGAACCTGGAATAATAATTTTTCCAAATTTTTCCTTTGTCATTTCTGCCTCAATGAATCTTGACTCTTGTCTCATTGTTGCAGGGCTTCTGTACAGAGTTGGAAAGGTTTTCGTCTCAGTGCCAGGAGATGTGGGTTTGCAATCTGTTATGCACAAAAAAATTAACTAACCCTGCAAAAGTGAGCCACAGAATGCAGAACTGAGCAGACTCATGTCTCTAGAGATAACTTGAGATAGTTAGAAATAGATAACTCTGTCTCTGAAAACTGCAGACTTTCTTGATTTACCCTGCATAAATTTTCTCAGTAAGTGGGTAAAATGGTACCTAGTGGCAGAATAATGAATTCACTGTGGATCTTCAAAGTTTCAAGTGAGCGCTGTGAAAACTAGACTATTTTCTCTCAATCTGAGACAGGTTTTTAATGTAAGTATTCATGGGCCAAAGTAAAGCTCCTCAGTATCAAAAACTTCATTAGTCTTTGAAATATCAACCTTTGGCTCTACTCTTTTTTATATAGTTTCCTAAGATTTATTAAAAAGTGTTGCAAGCTGAAAATTTCACCTGTGCATTCCTGAATACACTAGCTGTGTAATTAGGTCACTGAAACTTTGTAGCACATAGCATTTAGGGCAATTCCCTCGTCTCTTAAGATTAAAGATTGAGATCTCTCTGATACAATTATTTAAACCATCCATCTTCATGCTTACCTCAAAAAAATGTTGAAAAAATGCTGTGTTTGGAGTTTTTGTTTGTTTTGATCATGTGGCAGCTTCTCAATTCTACCTGTCTTCCACAAGAGCTTTAAAATTTGATTTTTTTCTGGTAATATACTCCAAGAATAACAAAACCCTTTGAGTTGTATATTTAACTTACTCTGTGAGAGATCTGAGAGAGTAATTTTAAGCCAACTAGCTGCTTGCTAAATCACTGGTTACCACCTTTGTCAGACCAAATTTCTTCAAGCACATTTAATTATTAATATTTTACAGTGATGCAGAGAATTTGCAGGGAAGCCCAGGACATCTTTCAGCTGATGGGACCCACACATGAAATGTAGTCCAGAAATGGCTGCAAAGAACTTTCAGCATCAATCAACAAGATAGATGAAGAGGAAGAGAGAAGCAGAACTACTTGCCCACATATGAAGTCAAGAGGTGAGTGACAGAAAAGAGAGAAAAAATGTTTCAGATTTGTATGATTAATATGCAGTATTTAAAATCAAACTGGATTGCTTTGTGATGATCAAATAAGTAGCAGAGGTAGGATGCTGAATATTATGAACTTTACATAACAGCCACCTCTCATCACTCTTTTAAAACATGAACCAATTTGTTTCCAGCACATCCCTGGATGAATAAGTGCACTGTTGTCTAAAGGGTGGTAAGCTTGAAACACATAAATGTAGGGGGTGGAGGAAAGCCCAAGATTGCATAGAAACTGTTTGCTTGCCTCCTGTTTCATTGTGGTTGACAACAGATGTCATACTATCCCTTGCCTGCAGCCTACAATGAAAGTATTTTTTATAAAAACCTCTATTGTTAATTTTCAAGAAGATGAAAATGTCTATAGAAAAGCCAGTGTCACAGATGAAGACTGAAGTGGCCAAAATACATGAAGCATTATATGATTTAGATTTTTTACTGTTCAGCCAGTCACATCTTTCTTCTCCTTTGAGACAGATATATTTTGAAATGGCTGTATTAAGTTAAAAAATCTATGCCTTGCCTTAATGCTAAGTTTTATATCCTATCCTTTCACATGTGTGTTTGTGTGTGTGTGTGTGTGTGTAAGATTACTTTATTAGCTGCCAAGAAAACATCCTTTAAGGATTACACTAAATCTTCCATTTTGCAGTCAGTGAGAGGGCATTTCAGATGATATCCAGTGATATTTATAGGAGTTTTTTTCTGGTCTAATATCTCACCTATTCTGCTCCCAAACAAGAATAATATTCTAACAAAAGTAGACCACACCTGAGTCACAAGGCAGACAACCAAATAAAGGAGCTGCCTGGCTAAGACCTGGAACTGATGTGGAAAGCTTTTGTGTAAGCTCTAGGGAGGGAAATACTTTGCCAGTATATGTCTCGTTTCTACTAAGAGAGTTTTCCAGGATAGTTTGGCTAGCAAATCTCCTCTAGGGTATGTAAGGACAGTAGTGTGGGCTCTGTATTCTTGTCTTGGCTAGAAGTATACAGACAGCAGTTAGGGTTGCAAAATGGTACTGCTACAGTGCTGTGGTGCTGTCTTCAGCTCCATGAGAGCTGTATCACAAAAGTGATACACTACTGAGTAAGAACTGGATGTACTGGATCTACTAGAATGATGGAAGGACAGAGAGGAGTAGGAAAGTAACTCACTCTGGCTATAGTTGTTTCTGTTCATATGGAGATCATGTATGATTAGGAGTCTATATCAAAACCAAGAAACAGAAAAAGTAAAATGAAGAAATATAGGGAGTTTGAGATCAAGGTAGAACTGTTGCATGGAAATGCAAGACTACTGTGCAGTTGATTTCAATGGAAATAACTCTGTGCCCTTTGTATATGGGTTACAGTAAGTCCAGCTGCCAAGACACTCAGCATTAAGGATGCAGGCTGTCCCACTGACATGGCATATTTGTGCCACTTAAACTGAACATATTCCTAAGGCTTTGCCAAGCCACAACATTACTAGGTGATCTGTCCACCAACAAAAACATGGTTTTTCATCTTAGGAATTAAATTCTCACATAGAAGGTGGCTATTGGGTGTCCAAATTCTGCTTAGTTTTATATGCAATGGCATTGATGCCTTAAGAGGTGACCTGGAACAGAGGCTGGACAGAGTTAAAGGAATAAAGTCTGTGTTTATTAAAAGGCCTTCAAAGGATACACCTTGAGAAATATAAAAGCCTGGCCAGGGCTTCACCCAAGATGGACCCAAAATGGTCACAAAATGGATAACCATTTGTTTTCACACTTTTATAAGTTTCAGTCCATTTACACATTTGGGTTAATTGTCCAATTACCCAAAGGTTATGGGTATGTAATATCCAAAATTACAGCTTCAAGGTTATGAAGTCCCATCCTCCCAGATTGCTCTCCTCAATTTGCTGATTATACATTTTGAGCCTGAAGCTGCAATGGTGTCCTTGGTTCTTGGGCTGGAAAAGGATTGTTTTGTCTACCTACACTGAGAAGAGAACTTGCTAACACTTTGTATGAAGTTCAGAGTCACACACTAATGCAGTACAGAATCTGGAAAATATGAAAGCTAAAAATTAAGGCCATCAGCATTGTGTTAGCTCAGGTAGCTCCCATCCTGTCCTTACAGCTATTTGTGTGTTTGGTTTCTGTGTTTTTCCACCACAGCTTGCTGCTACTTTAGTTGTGCAACTACAGCTGTTTGTGGAGCTGCCTGGGAAACTGAATCACTGAAGTGATCCAGGAGAAAAAGTAGTGCTCTGTAATGAGAGCTTCTTCACACCTCTATTTGGCATTTTGCCCTGTGAACCCACCACATTAATGCCCATATAGTCCTTAAAAGTCACAGATAAAATTATAAATGTATTAAAAATTTTTTTTAAAATTTAATTGGCAATAGAACTGTGACTCCTCAGAGAACTACACCTACGCTGCAGTATGAAGTATTTGCAATCATACTCCAAAGGTGACAGCTATATCGTTCTACCTTGAGGATGAACCTGACCCATTTCTTTAACAAAGAGAGAGCTCTTCTACCCTTTTCTCCGACTTAAGAATAGAACAACTTTCACCCAAGAGACATGGGCTTTAGTTCTGTAGTCTCAAGTTTCCCATGGCTTTTTTGCCTTGCATTTCTTTTGCCTAAGCATAGAAGGCGCTCTTACACTGCTGTCTGCACCTGGGGAAAGCTGTTCCTAGGGCAAGACGCTGTTTGAGCTGTTGGTTTTGGCCGAGTAGAGCAGCCAATGGTCCTGTCCCAGGACACAACGCACAGCTGATACAAATAAGCAAACACATTAATCTCTATTTCTGCAAAGGTAAATACTTTTCTGTAAAGGTAAATAAAGTTATTTGCATTTAGGGAAAGAAAAAGTCCTTTGAGAAGTACCACTGTAAAAAGCTGTGAGTAGCTCTAACCCATGATGCCTTATCCATGTATGAAATCCTACCAATCAATCTATGTTTATTGATAGGTTTCCAGCTGTTCAAATTGGCTCCCTTGCACTGGTTTGAATTGTCTGAAATTGTTTTGTAGGCATATAATAATGCAATGTAATATGTAGATACATGTACATGCATGTGTGCAGATATACATGTACCTATGCATATATATGTACATCTGTATACACTGAAAAATAACCCTTACACTCATGATGAAAGCAGAAAAAAAGTTAAAAGTGGGTTAGAACCAGTTTTGACTTTTGACAAATATTGATTTGGTCTTAAATGGGCTGGAAAAGCAGGTGATAAGGCACCTCCCACTCTGCCTCCTGGCCTCCTGGGGCTTATGCTGAGTATGTCTGGAGAGCACAACATATTCATGAGCCAGATCACACCAATGGAAGATGTACTTAGGGGTTAAATAAAACACCTCTTTCTTCTCTTCTCTTCTCTTCTCTTCTCTTCTCTTCTCTTCTCTTCTCTTCTCTTCTCTTCTCTTCTCTTCTCTTCTCTTCTCTTCTCTTCTCTTCTCTTCTCTTCTCTTCTCTTCTCTTCTCTTCTCTTCTCTTCTCTTCTCTTCTCTTCTCTTCTCTTCTCTTCTCTTCTCTTCTCTTCTCTTCTCTTCTCTTCTCTTCTCTTCTCTTCTCTTCTCTTCTCTTCTCTTCTCTTCTCTTCTCTTCTCTTCTCTTCTCTTCTCTTCTCTTCTCTTCCCCTCTCTTCTCTTCTCTTCTCTTCTCTTCTCTTCTCTTCTCTTCTCTTCTCTTCTCTTCTCTTCTCTTCTCTTCTCTTCTCTTCTCTTCTCTTCTCTTCTCTTCTCTTCTCTTCTCTTCTCTTCTCTTCTCTTCTCTTCTCTTCTCTTCTCTTCTCTTCTCTTCTCTTCTCTTCTCTTCTCTTCTCTTCTCTTCTCTTCTCTTCTCTTCTCTTCTCTTCTCTTCTCTTCTCTTCTCTTCTCTTCTCTTCTCTTCTCTTCTCTTCTCTTCTCTTCTCTTCTCTTCTCTTCTCTTCTCTTCTCTTCTCTTCTCTTCTCTTCTCTTTTCTCTCTCTCCAATGACTCTCTCTTTCCCATGCTTTCCTTTTATGAAGATCTAGCTCATTTTCTTTTACTATTCTAATTTCAATATTTTTTAACTCCTGGGTGTGTAGCATTTATTTGACTCCAGTTTTCCTTCTCTCACGGAAATGCTCCTTGTCCTTACATGCCTTGACTTATCTAGACATATTTTGAAATTTGTTAGTTTTCTAGATTTTTTCCTTCCAAATCACCGGGAGTCTTCAGAAGAGAAAGCTGAGCATCCTTCTATGTGAAGAAATTGCATAAAAATATCAGTGAGAAATTATTTTATTTCTGGGCCATCATTTCTGAGGGATCTCTAAGCCCAAGTCTTACTTCCCCCTGGTCCGTCCCCCATTAAACTCTCATTACCAGTTCCTCAGAAATGAGGGTCCCTTTCTGCTTTGTAGACCTCACCTCTGGTTTCTCTCAGGACTAGATGTGAAGGTAAGATTGTACCTCATATCCCATCCACATGGGGAAAATTCTGAACATCTGTAGGCCTTGGCACTGAGAGCAGCTACAAACAGAAGAGTCATTCCTTCTGTGAGTGAGCTATATCACTGCACACCATCAGAAGCTGGGTGGGAAGAAATGGAAATGAGTTGAGTATCATCCTGCCTTTAGGTAGCTTGTCATTATGTTTTTTCATCAGAGACACTAGGTAAGTTTAGCATTACTCAGAAGGTGCTTGATAATAACAGGGGCACACTCAGGTACACTGATCCTTTCTGGTTTGTTGTCCTTTTTGTTTAGGAAACCAAGAATGTAATGCACAGATGAGCATCTTGGAACATATCGAGTATATGCATCTCTTTGGACCATCAAATCTTTTTACATGTATTTGGAACCTTTGAAAAGAAAGTGGAGAATAGGACAATGAGCACTTGAATAATAGATTCAGAGAGAAGCTGCTTGTGAAATGAATACAGATCTACATAAATGAAGAGGGGAACAATAAAAAAAAAAAACCAACAAAAGAATCTATCACAGAAAGACAGTGTTTATGCTAATGAAAAGTATCACAATTAGCTGTTAGACTAGTCTTCTGATAAGATATTGAACCAAACCAAAATGGACCTCTCTCCTTCAGCACTACTGAAGTGAGTCATTTTTTTGTACAGTGAAATTGTTTCAGTGTCACAGAGCAAGGAAATGATAAACATCGCTATAATCTCTTGCACTGTAACAGAGCTATGGAGTACAACAGGAAGTGAAATCTAAGCATACCTCGGGGTGAAAAGAAAAAGGTTTAAATATTAGGATCTTGCATGTTTTCTAATCTTTTCAGATCTTTCAACTTCATTTTCCCGAAATGTGGGATGAAGATATGCTTTCTTATGAAGCAGGGAACCCAAACAGTTTCATACTTGTTCATATGACTCCAGGAGCTGGTTTTATCACAGAGAAAGTAAATCATGAGATTCATAACAGCATTTGCAAAGCTTGGTCACACTGGGTCATGTGAAATTGTGATCTTGTCACTCAATGCAGATCAGTGGCTGTTGAGTGCAAAGGAAGCTCCTTGGATGTTTGAATCATCAAATTTTCATTATAGTAAAAGGTTTGTAAAAGTTTACAGTGGAATCTAAAGAAACATGATTAGATCAGCATTTTTTTCTAAGAATATGCATTTGTACCATGTACTTAACTTAATCTACATTCCAACAATGCTTTGATAATATATTAATTTTGCTCAAGTGTTGATAAAATATTTTTTTAACTTGAGATGTCAATTTTTCTTGTGCATCATGTTTTTTGACATTATTGTAAAGACTGGGAATAAAAATTTTAAAAGGCACAAGTGATAGCTAAGAACCTCACTATCAATGTTAAAATTGCGAAAATAAGGTGTGTAATTGTCATTTAGGTTTTTTCTGAATTCTGCAGAGATTGTAATCTAGCAGAGATTGTGCAGTAATTTCTGGCAGATATCAGGTCATGAGGACCCTCATTCATTGTTATTTTGTTTTGTTGCACCCCATCTTCCAGCCTAAAGAGAAGTTTAAACAGTGTATGCTCTTTGGGTGTCTTTATAAATAGCAAAATGCAGCAAGGTAGCACATGAACAATTGTGAAACACATCACAACCCCCGCAACAATTGTTAGCTGGGTGTGTTGTTAAATTGATTGTGTGAACTTGCTGTCAAAGGAGATGTCTGCATACTCCTGCCTGACAGATGCAGATGGACCCTGAATTATAATGCAGTAATATGGAGGAGGTTGTGGGCTGTGGAGACAGACATTATTGTCTTTCAACAACCTCCTACAAAAATATTCTGAATTTACAAATAGCTTTCTGCTACTATGTATTTGTAACTGGAAAAGGTGATCTGTACAAGTGCTGCACTCCTATTCCTATGTATTTCATAAAACACAAAGTCCTAATGTTCCTCAGAGGTCCTGGATTTATTAATCTTCTTCTGGCTTTCTTGGAGGGAAAATCCTCTCCCAGTGCTGTGAGGATATAGACACTTTTCTATCTGGCTCCATTTCAGCAACTGGCTCTGTGCTCAGCAGCTGATTTGCTTCTTCCTCCAGTGTCTTGTGCATGTTCATCTCATGGTGTTGCTGGCTTGTTTTTCTCACTGTATCTCCTGTTGATGTAAATGCCTAAAGAACTGTTGTATTAAGGACCTTTGACATTGTTAGATCAGAAAAATAAAAACTAGTATCCAGCTAATTTTTTTTCTCTATGTTCAGTGGCTGGCAAGGTTGCTGTCCACTGTGAGGCTTTATGTGCTTGGAACTGAAAGGATACAAGAAATTTTTCACCCTTCAGCTGTGTGTCTGTCTGTGGTCTTTGCAAGGGATGGGACAACGAATAGGACCCAGTGGCATTTCCACGCGAGGAACAGCTGAAAAGGTTTGGGCCTCCCAGGACACAAAAGCTGAGTTTGGCTGAGGCAGATGCTGCCTGCATCATCACTAGCTCAAAGAGGAGACATTTGGCTCCAGACAGGCGGCACAGGTTGAAGTGACTAAAACATCCTGAAGTGCTATGGGAAGTTCTGCTCAGCAGCGGGGAGGCGATGGAAGCCGTCGCTGACCTATAAACAGGATGAGGGAGCAGCAGCAGCCCAGTGCAGAGACAGTGGCTGGCGCTGTGCTGACAGGCAGACAGACACATAAACAAAGGCAGGGAGGAAGCTCTGCTTATATCTGGAAAAGAAACCCCAAACCATAGGATGCAAATGATGGACGTACATGGCTATAAATAGCTACAAAGCATAGTGGGACTTAAAAGACTTAATTGTGACATAAAGCCTCCATGCAGAATGGACTATGTACACTCACTACTTTTTATTTAAGTCGTGTGCTCTTTTTTTTTACTCACATATTTAATATTACTGACCATGCTTAACTGGGCTTTTTAAACAGGGAGGAGAAAATTCACATAAATCAAATAATAACATTGTGTTCTTTTGTATAAATGAAGCAGCTAAAAATAGTTGGGATGCTGCCAGACGTTTCAGTCAATTGTCTAAGAGACCCAGTCAGCAATAGTTTTGTGTTTTGGTATGAAATAGAGTTTTATTAGATCAGTAATCATACTTTTGAAGCCAAAGGGTAAGGACGACATAGCAATATTTTGTAGAGCTTTTAATTGTGTTCTCAGGGTTTGGGGATATTAATCAGAAGGCAAGTGAGAGTGGCATGCCCCATACATTATTCTGCTAGAGGAAATGTGGATGGGAAGAAATCTGTATGCAACCACTTCAAGATGCAGATGAGTACTGTCTTTCTACCTACTACTTAGGTAGTTAGGGAGCTTCAGCTGCAGCTTTTGCTGGACTAGCAGATTCAGTTCAGTGGGGTTTTGTGCCAGTTGTAGTTAAGAAGGTTTTGAACAATAATATGTAGAGATAAAAAGTTTTTCTGCTGGAATTGTGATATAATGCTGACAAAGTAGGTGTATTAAAACACTTGTGGAAGCGGTCATTTGTTTCTCAGTGGAGTTATTTGTTCTAGAAAAGAAGAATTGTATTTTAAAAACAAAGTTACTTGGAATAAGATGACTGCTGGCACTTTTTTACCAGATAATGGCTCTGTGACCTTTTAGGAATTTGTCTAGAGGTCCTGCTATGGGCTATTATGCTTGTAGATTTTAACTTGCCGTTTTCATTTGTAACGCTCAAACTGCTTTCACAATGGCTTTTCTGGACTTTCTAGAAAAACTAACAAGTATTACTTTTTATACACACAACATAAAAACCTGTGTTTAATAGTTTCTGGTATTGTGTGCAGACACAAATACTGCAGAACAAGTGAAGTTTGTCTCTAAAAGTCGAGGAGAGGTAAACCTTTTTATGCCCCCAAGCCACCAGCCCTAATAGATATTGCATAACAACTTCAGTTTCATTCAGTGTGGCACTGCAATTTCCAACTTGACTGTCAGACTCATTTCTTTCACAGCAGGGCATGCTGTGCTTTCTGCACTGTGTGACTTCCACAACTGAGTTTCTTTACTAAGGTTCAGAGAGAAAATGTCAAAACCTCTGGAGCAATGTGCTTGTCCATCCTACAAATGTCCTCAGCTTGTCAATTCTTTCTTTCATTCAGGGTTGGGCTAGGAAGAAGTAGAGCTTTCATTGTTAGATCTCTACAGGAGGTGTTTATACCCAAAAAATTAATGTTAATTTAATGTTCATTCTTTACCACTGTCTTGTGGTAAAGGGGACTGAAGGGGAGTTTTTTGCCCTCTCCTATTCGCAATTCCATGCTCTGCAATGCAGTCACTGTTGTGTAAGCCTGCTCTTTGCTGTGCTCAAGTGCTGTATTCCTTATGACATTCTAGGGATCAAGCCTCAGCCTGAGAAGTGGGAGACCACTGCCACAAGCAGCAGCATTCCCTACTAACCAAAGTTTATCAAAGACACAAATTGGCAGGTGACTATGAAGTGCTGAAGCTTCTCAGGGTGGTGCAGACTTTTGGGACTTCTTGACCCAACTCAGTATTGACCATGTCCTTTTCTGAGGAGCTTACCTGGTGCTGAGCACCTCTGAATGGCTCTGCCACATTTCTAAGTTGCCTACTTGAATAAATCCATGTTTGGAGGACTAGGCTGACCACTGCCATTAAAATAATTTCTACTGCTCGGCTACTGAAAGGAACAATGCCTTTGCAATGCACATGTAAGCTGCCCATGTGGCATTTACATCATACTTAGAACTTATTTAATTTCCCTCTTTGTCATTGTGTTTATTGCCTTAAGCTGTCTTAGAAAGTTAAAAATATGAGAAAAGAGAAAGCACAAAGAGAATGTTGTGAAAATTAATTTAAATTTTCTCTTCTGTTTTTCTCAGATGGAGGAGTTGGTGGTTACGTGCTGCACTGCTTGGTGGATACACGCCTGGCTATAGTAGGTTGAAAGGAAATCAAGGGTGGTGTTGCTAACATTCCACCCTCAGCTCCCTATTCACCTCTCATCATCCACCCTTGCATTTCAACTCAATCGTTTTACCCACCCACCTAGTTCCATGTGAAATTGTGCTAATGGATGTCTGTCCCACAATACACAGGGAGACTTGAGCTGTTTTTGTAACTTGTATCTTTCTTTTGAATTTCAAGTGTTTCCAACTTGCAAAATACTGGTTTGGGTCAACACCTGGACTCCACCCATGTGTATGTAATTCAAGGATCATAGCACATAGAAGTTAGAGGTTGATCATCAAAATTTCATTGTGGTTCAGGGACATTAGATACTGGGATTTTGCTATAATTCTGTGTCTAGCAGGAAGGAAAGGGCTAGAAAGGGAACTGATAATGATTTGAATGGAGTAGGACCTTGGGCAATTGTGTTCTGTGTTCCCTGCAAGCTCTGCACAGTCATTAACACTGACGAAGCATTAGAGACGTGTGGTGCCAGTTAGAGGTCAGTCCTTCCAGGAGCACTTGCCATATTTTTATGTCCTCATCTCCTACCTGTGTCTTGGCAGAACTAGAGCAACACAGTGGAACACCAGACTTTACACACTTTGTCTACATTACCCTCTTCCAAAGGCCTTTCACTTTCTGTTCTCAGTCCAAGCTTCCCTTTTTCTCTGTTTTGTCTTCTCCTTTTAGTTTCTCTCCTTTTCCTTCACTCCTTTGGTCTGTCAGAAATCTCCCTCGTGCCAGGAGAGGCCAAAACTGAACTACTATCAACAGGGCATCTGGCAGGAAATAAGCACCAGGTTGCATTGTGAACTTTTATGGTACTTGCAGCATGGCCTGTTTTTACAATCAACTGCTGAGAGAAGATGTTCAAGAGGATGTGTTCAGCAGCAGATCAGGGCACAGCAGCCAGGTGGGATTCCTGATGCAGAGCTGGCCAAGTCTCCCTGCTGAAGTTTCATTCTGGGCTATAGAGGAGTCTTCAATTACTTACTGAATGTTTTTTGATGTCAGGGCCTCAGTTAAATGTGCAGGAGAGGAGCTAGGCAGAAGTGACAGCATTGATAGATTTATATTAGTGGTCAGAACAAGCCTGGCTGTACATGGGGCAGCAGGCACTGGCCTCCATTTCTTTCCTCTGTCTACTGTGAACATTTTACCTTGCTTGCACTGTCAGAGGCTGTCCCAGATTCTCTCCTTCTGGTCCAATAATTATTCAACTGGTCTATGCAAAGTGGAATTCCTTCAGGCAGAGTTGCCCTTCTGTATCTGTTTAGAGACTTCACTGAACACATGCTGTCTTAGGTATATTCAGGCTGAGCAAAAGCCCTAAATTTAAATGCTGCTCAGATGGTTCAGGGACCTTAGCTACTGGCAGGGAGTTTAGGACAAGGACAAGATCCTTGTGGGTTCACTTTGAAAACACTTACCTATTTGGTTTTGCCCTATTACTACAACTCAGGGAGCCAAAGGATTCTTTAGACACAGGTTGTCTTGGCCTTGCTTTGATTTATATATATTTGGAGAATGTAACTTCTAGAAGTGTTGCAAGTAGCTGGAAGAAGCACTGAGGACTCAAATGCCTCCAAGCCCAGGGATGGGGTTTTAAGGAGACAAGACAATAGACAGGCTCTTTTGTATTTTCAGTGCAGGGTGAAAGAAAAGTCACATGCTTCATCCCTTCACATTAACATAGGAAAATCATCTCACTGAAATGCACATCCTCCTATTTCTGAGGCAAAGCAGAAGAATATGAGACAACAGAAACAATGGAAACTGCAACAAATTAATAAATTTTATTCTAACACAAGGCCAAGACTTCAGAAGTGTTTATTTCATCCTTAAATACTTCAGCTTTCATCCTGATCATCTCCTATTTTTTTTACCTGGCAGAGCCCTGCTGTATGGAGTAAAACAGAACAGCAAGCTGCACACATAGAAATTCATCAAATCCTGTCACACATCAGCCCTTTCTGCAGAATTGCCCAGTAATGTTTAATTGTCAAACAACTCTTTACTGCAAAAACATTAACTTAAGTGCAGTTTCTTACTCTGACACTGAAACTTGGCCAAGTGTTTAATGCTCATAGCCATAGGAGGTTTTTTCTGTCACAGGAGGCATTTAAAAACATGACAAATAATAAACCAAAGAATGTGACAGAAAAAAAAAGCCCAAGAAAACAAAATGAAAGAAGCAAACACATAATTTAGGAACTGTCAGACTGTTCTTTGAAGTTTTGGTTAAAACTTTAGTGTCCACATTAATAAATTTTAGTTCAAAATTTGCTTGTCATTTCTTTCTAGCAAAGCATGAAGTGTTCATGATCCTCCTGGCTCATTTATATTATAAACTTGGCACACATCCTTTTGTAAGAGTAAGCTTTCCTCAAAAATCTATTTTCCATTGCTTGCTGTAAATATAATGTTGTAAGCCAGTCTCTTCAGACACAAAAACCTGCTCTTAAAGTATGTTGAAACTATTAGGATAGAGTAAGAAACCAGAGATATTTTTTTCTCAAGACTGTTGAAACTCGATTGAGGTGATTATTATTGCTGTTAGACTCATTTTGTCATAGCCTTTGTGCCTCCTGACTCAACAAATATGAAAGACATCTAAAAATCTCCAGCACATGCCACTTCACAACTTCCAAATCTCCTGAACTGGGAGATTTTCTGTAGTGACCAAAGTAGTAGATGGACATCACTGACAGCAACAAATCTAACTGACATCAGTCACTTTATGCAAACTCAGTTACTTTATATAACTGTGCTAAAAAATTCACAACTAATTGGCTGCAACATTCTCTCTCCTTTGGCCACAATGACGTGATTTTTTTTTAAATATGGCATGCACGTTTTGCTATGCGACAGCAGAAAATTGTACTCTGTCATTGTATTTATCTGTTGGCTGGCTTCTTTCTCTCTTCTTTCTTCTTTTATCCACAGTCTATTGTCTGCTTTCAAAAGCCAAAGATAAAACCACAATGACTGTGTTAGACATGTCTTGCTGCAAAGAAGGCCAGTGGTACCCTGAGCTGCATTAGGAGTGTTGCCAGTGTGGAGAGGGAGGTGATTCTACCACTGTACCCACCACTGGTGGGTCCCTTCTTGGAGTGCTGGATCCAGTTCTGGGGTCCCCAGTACAGAAGACATTGACACACCTGAGTCTAGTGAAGGTCTACAAAGATAATTGAGGAATGAAAGCATCTCTCCTATGAGGAAAGGCTAAGAGAGTTGGGACTGTTCATCCTAGAGAAAACCATGTTCAATGGGCCCTTAATATATACTCAAGGATATATGTATTAATATTACAATACAATACAATTACAATTACAATATTATTGTATTGGTATTAATATACTCAATATATATGAATGCCTGAAGGAGGATGTAAAGAGGATGGAGCCAGGCTCTTTTTGGTGGTGACTAAGAATTAATGGGCAGAAAATGAAATACTGGAGATGACATCTGAACATCAGGAAACATTTTCCTACTCTGAAGATGACTGAGCTCTGGCATGTATTGGCCAGAGAGATTGTAAAGTCTCCATCCATGAAGACATTCAAAGGCTTTTGGACACGTTGTAACTGACTGGGTAGGACCTGATGACCTCCAGAGGCCCTTTCCAACCTCAGCTGTTCTGTGTTAAGGAACAGTGAAGGAGCAGAAACTGCAATTTGTGTCTTCAGTGAGATGTGCAAGCATATATCAGGTAAGGATTGAATAAATAACTAAATTTGTCAACTGTCTGCATCAATACATGCATACTGAGTTTAAAGAAATATTTTCTTTCTTTCTTTCCCTCTTCCTTTCCTTTCCCTCTTCCTTTCCTTTCCCTCTTCCCTCTTCCTTTCCTTTCCTTTCCTTTCCTTTCCTTTCCTTTCCTTTCCTTTCCTTTCCTTTCCTTTCCTTTCCGCACCTTTCCTTTCCTTTCCTTTCCGCACCTTTCCTTTCCGCACCTTTCCTTTCCGCACCTTTCCTTTCCTTTCCGCACCTTTCCTTTCCTTTCCACCTCACTCCCTTTCTGTCTTCCTCTCTGTCTCACTCTCCCTCTATCTTTTTACATACGTTGAGAAGAAACTTCCTGAAAAGTTTCCTGACACTCTATCAAAAAAATCACAGGGAGAATCACTGGTCTTCTTTTCCCTGTTTCACTGTGACCTGATATTTATCTCCTATCAGACTGCTGTACTGTCCCATGGAGACCACAGTTAACTTTGGCAGACTTGTATCAGTGACTCAGTCTGCCCTGGCCCCATATCAGACTAGAAACAGGAATGTCAGGCCCCTAAATTAGAAATGATAAAATGATGAAAATGAAGAAGGGAAAAGGGTTAAAAAATATTTATTTTGGGAAGGAGTCAGAGAAACCTCTGACCTTGACCTCTTTGCTTGCTGGAGAGGACACTGTACTCAACCCAATTATGAGATACAGCTGAAATGCAATGTAAAAATGATTCCAAATATCTGTTGCCAGGAAGCAGATGACATACTAAATTGCTCAGTAGATTGAGCACTAAATTCAGTGATTTCCTGCTGCAAGAGTTGCCACTATACAGCCATTTTGTCTTTTTTGGCAAGGCAGCTGCTTTTGGACGACTGTCTCCAGTAGTCTTTCCTACGCTTCCTGTTGTAGGAAGGCCTGTTTCCTGCCGTGAGATTCCTGATTAGGCTCTGCACTATTTTTGTCTGCAAAATGCCTGTGTAGCAGGTTGCTTCTCTGCATTTGATACTGATTTGTGGGAAGTGAAGCCAGATCACAGTCTGGCCACAATGGAGCATCCAAATCCTTTGAGAAATCTAAAAAAAAAAAAAAAAAAATATGCTGTCGCTCAGCTGAAAAGAACTGATGCTTAATGGCTTAATGTAGCATTCAGAGGTACAATGGAGACCAAAGTATTTATTTTTGTAGTGAAGTTTCACTCTGTTTGTTTCTTTTGGTATTGGAAACCAGGGCCTATCAGCTTCACATTGTCTTTTTCAAAGCATCTCCCAAGATTAGTTTTCCTCCTCTAATGTTCAGAGAATCTCCTGGTCCAGGTCCAGGTTTCTATGTACCTCTGTAGGGATAAAGACACTTTCCACCTCCTACTACGTGTATTATAGGCTTAAATTTTTATTTCTGCTGGTAGTAGGGGGGGAAGGGGGAGGTGGGAGGTTGTGGGGGGGGAGGTGGAAGAATAAAGTGCTGACATAAATGGGAAGATTTTGCAGCTATATGATTAACTTATTTTGATATGGGAGTGTGTGCTCAGACTCAGGTATTAAAAAGGAGTAAAAAACCTTTTATCCCTCTCCTTAAGACACAATAGTGAGGTCATACTCTAGGTCTGAACAATCTATGAGATAGTATTGCTCAAGTCTCTGAGATATTTCTACTACACACAAATGGCAAGAAACAGAAAAAAGGCTCAGTCCTGACTGCTAATGGTAGCGTGGACATAGGAGGGGAATTGTAAAAACAAAAATAATTTACTTTGAAATATTGTTCCATTAATACATTTTGTTAATATACTTTAGTCCCCCCATGTTAGAAAGTTTCATGCATGGCTGGCCACAGGTACCCAATTGCTGCAGCTGACTGTAGGATAAGGGCCCTTGATTTCAAAGGCTGAGAGAAAACTCTTCAAAAGGGCTTCTCGTTTCTCTTATGAATTGGTCTTCAGTCCAGATCCTTCTTTTCTATGCAGTCATGCATGCCTGCTGCTTGCTCTTAACCTCATGTTTTCCATATTTTGGTGTGAGGACATAGATGCTGACTTTATGACACTGGCATTCACGTTAACTTGGTTTTACAGTGTAGGAAAGCAAGGTACTGTTTGCCTTCAGTTGCAGCACAGGACA